CTGGGCAATCGCCCTGCGTATCCCAGGCTGAAAGGAGGCCATATTGGCAGGCTTCTGAACTCAATGGCAGAAGCTGTGCTGCCCTAAAGACATTCGAGGAAGTTGGGCTGCTCGGTTTTGATATGGAAGGGTTGTCAGCCCACTTTGCGGCCTTGCTATTCAGTATCGCCGGAGTGTAACAGGTAAAAGTGGATCATTTAGCCACACCCAACCCGTCGGAATTACGAGCTAAGCCACATGTGGCTCAAGTTTAGACTTGAGATCTCCCCCGTGCTCCGTCTGGTCTCGTCGCCCTGATACAGTAGGCTTTCTGTCTTTATGTTTTCATCTCCGGTCGGAGTCATTGCTTGAGTCACTGGCTTTCGAACTCAAAAAGGAACTAAAGTTGAGGGCCGCTATCTAACACGAAGCTCATTGATGTCACAACTTGAAGTGGGGATATGTCTTTACTAAAGACGACAAAAGGAAACAGCGCTCGACGTTGACGCCATAAACAACCTGCGCTTCATCGTTTCTTCTTCGTCCAGTCCAACCTCAAGGCCTCACAACTACTTCCAAACACATCCGACATGGCCCGGCTCGTAACCGCGACGTGTCCTGGCTACAATGTCATCCGTCCCTAGTCATGAAGAAGGCCTCTTCTCCGTATCGACAGCACACCACAGGTCGAGTGGAGGCCCGAGTTTCTCCCGCCTTCGTCGCCGTTTAACCTTCGACCCGATCCTCAGGACCAGAGATGCTTATCCGGCCGTCTTCGAGGGAGAAGAAGACGACGGGAGTGAGACCCGACCACGCCTCAGCGAATCCAGACCTGGCTCACGCTGGGCGCTGCATGACGTGAACCAGCTCATCGACGGGGATGAGCACGACCAGGAGACGTATGGACTGACCGAGTTCCGTGACGGTTTCTTTGATGCCGCGTTCACCAACCCGCGGGAGATTGATCAAGAGGAGCTGGATAAACGGGCACAGCGGACGCTCCCCGTCGCGTTGCAGAAACGCCATCCGCTTTCGCTGACGGCCTTCTTTCCGAAACAGTGGCGCGGTGTTCAAGATGTCGCCATCACCGTGTTTACCACCAGAGGAGGTGTCAAGCTCGTCAAGACGTTTATTGCCGTTTTTACCGCCTATGTTCTGTGCTTGGTGCCATCGGTCAGGGAATGGCTGGGGCGGTACAGCTATGTCATGGTCGTCTCGACCATTATCAACCATCCTGGACGGACCATTGGGGCCCAAGTTGATGGATGCGTCTCGACTATTCTGGGCACACTCACTGGTCTCGGATGGGGAGCCTTCGGTCTGTGGCTATCCACGTCCACGGAGGCAGCACAGGTCGGTTACGGACCGATTCTTGCTGTCTTCCTCGGCGTCTATATTGGCATCATTGCCTCCATACGGTCATACTTCATCCGCCTGTATCAATTCGTTATCTGTGCCGGCCTAGCTGTCTGCTATACCGTTCTTTCGGAGGTATCCGACGAAAAGGTCCGCTGGATCAAGCTTCTCAACTACGGCATCCCATGGCTCCTCGGCCAGGGTCTATGTCTGGTGGTCTGCATCTTGTTCTTCCCCGATGCTGGCTCGCGACCCATGGCCGTGTCTCTGAACAATGCCTTCACCGTCATGCTGGAGGGCCTGGATGAGAAGAAATCCCAGCTCACCCTCACCCGGCGCCGGCTGGCCCAGACGTTCGTCAACGTCTCGCAGATGTACAGAGACCTCGCCATCGACTTCAGTATGACTCTCTTTGACCCGAAAGATGTATACGCGCTCCGAAATTTGCTTCAAGCCGTCGTCAGGAGCTTGCTAGCACTGCGGCCTAGACCGGACGTCTTTAACCTGCACGAGGTGGCCGAGGGCCGCATTCCGGTCCCGCCGAAGGAGGTTCGCAATGCCCAGGACATTGAGGCAGGAATCGAGCTGGACTCTTTCGGTCTGGACCAAGAACCAATCACTGGAATGCTGAGCTTGCCGCATCTTGAAGTAGGAGATAACATCTCCAAAGAGCAAGCCATCCACCTCGTCTCGCACAACCTGGAAGACCCGACGAGCCGACTTATCGACCGAATGAAGCACGCCTTACAGGCCTGCCACGCTGTTCTGATGGAGAGGTCAGGGTACAGGAAATACCTCGGTCCAGGAGACGAAGTTGACTCCGACTTACTGGGCGCAATAATCAAGTTGCGCAAAGCCATGCACAAATTCGACGCTGCCGAAGACGCCCTGCTCGAAGGGGAAGAAATGGCAGCCACATTCGTACAAGAGGTGGTCGAGGTCTTCGCTTATTGCCGGCCGATTCGGCAAGCAGCCAGAACCATTGAGGCGGTCCTGGTCAAAGTCATGGAGATGGAGCAGCGCAAGCCGACTTGGCCAAGAACATATGCGCCCTCGTACCCGTGGCCGAAAGCTTTGAATCGAACAAACCCACAAGTCCGCCACGACCGCGGAGGTGTCACGGCCGGTTCCTACTACCGCAGCTTCGACGACATATCCCACCTGATCAATCAGATCAAGTCCTCCGTACACCACCCCAACCCGCACGAGGCGCCAGAGGAGGAACCGGAGCTATTCAACTCCAAGTCCGCGGCTAGTGACCGTTCGCGGGTGGAGGAGAGGGTAGAGGACGGCCCGCCGTTGAAGAAGAGTACTTTCCGCTACGGTTCCTGGAAGCTCCTGCACCGAATGCAAGGCTTCGAGATGCGGTTCGCGCTGAAGACTGTGATCGTGACCACCCTGCTTGCGCTGCCGGCCTGGCTGACCGAGAGCAGGGGGTGGTGGAACGCGTACTCGTCGTGGTGGGCTGTTGTCATGGCTTGGATGATGATGCATCCCAGGGTGGGAGGGAACGTTCAGGATCTGGTCACTCGGGCGTTTATGGGCGTTCTCGGTGCGGCCTGGGCTGGGGCCGGGTATGCTGCTGGAAAGGGTAGTCCATATGTGATGGGAGTGTTTGCTGCTATATACTTGCTGCCGATTCTTTATCGGTTTACGCAGAGTTCGCATCCGGTAGGTGCTGATCTCGTGTTTGCTTGCACAAGAAGGATGTGCTAACAATGGACAGAGGTCTGGGCTGGTGGGGTGTCTCTCCTTTACAGTCACCTCGCTCACCTTGATGACAGACGGTGGGTCACCAGTGACGATCACCATCAGCCGCGGTCTGGCCTTCGTGGTTGGCGTCGTCGCAGCCATCACGATCAATTGGTTACTGTGGCCATTCGTTGCGAGACACGAGTTGCGGAAAGGATGCTCTGCGATGCTGTTCTTCCTAAGCATCATCTACAGAAGCGTCGTGGCGAAATACGTGTACTATGAACAAGGGCACAAACCGACGGCCGAGGACGTCCATCGGTCGGAGCTATTGGAGGGGAGACTACGAGAAGGCTTCGTTAGGGTCCGCCAGCTCATGGTATGTCCCGTATCCAGTCCCTGTCGTCCAAGTCGGGACCGGGATAACTAACATCATCACACAGGCTCTCACCCGCCACGAAGTTCGGCTCAGAGCCCCCTTCGACCCCCTGCACTACTCCGCCCTCATAGCTGGGTGCGAGCGCTTCTTCGAGCTCCTCGTGGCAGTCCGCGAGTCGGCCCTCTACTTCGACCCCAAGTTCGTGCGCGATAACGACGAGGCCATGTCGGCGCTGCTCAACTACCGCCGCGACGCCGTCGCGGCGATCCTGACGAACCTGTACATCCTCGCCGGCGCGCTCCGTGCGGACAGGAAGGTGCCCCGGCACCTCCCCAGCGCGGCGCTGGCGCGCAAGCGGCTGATGGACAAGATGATCGAGCTCGAGAACGAGTACGAGGAGGACCGCGGCCGGGAGGTGAGGCAACTCGGGGAGCGGAAGAAGTGGGTGCAGGTGTACAGCTACTCCTACAACGAGAGCTTGACGCGGTGCGTGGCGCAGCTGGAGGAGCTGGAGATGTTTACCAAGCTTATTGTGGGAGAGCAGGGGTGAGTACCTACCTACCTACCTTCCGCACGTGGTCTGATGTGGTTTTACGAGTTGCGGCTAACTGAGGTGGACTGCAGGTTTCATGACGGCTATGACAGCGATTCTGAAGATGAGCGGGAATAAGGCAGGGGGTTGGGGATCAAGCAACTTCGCAATTAGATGCATAAGGCTAAGGTAGCCAGAGACCTCAACCATCGCCGATCTTGTCCGAATCAAGACATGATTCGACCATTATCTGACTGCTCTTCTCTTTGTGACGAGCGCACCCCTACCTACCATACAGCGCCGGCGTCGCACACGCACAGTCTCCCCTCGCGGACTCTTTCCTCCACCTCCATCAAGAGGGTTGCGCTACACACAGCAGAGGGATAGATATCGTGGGACTCGACCACCATCCCCTGCTCGGAAGTTACTGATGCATGAACTGTTGTCTCGTCTGTTGTTCTGTACAACGAGTCACGCGAGATGCAGAGCAGTGGCCAGCAGGTTGTTCCTGGGTACCCTCCAATGGTAAGGAGCTCCAGCTTCCCTCCGCGCCAGCCGCTCGCTGTCTTGATCAGCGAATATCAGCTCCCCTTGCTGTACTCTACGCTGTCCTACGTCGGGTCCCTCGTTCGGCTGAGACTACCTTAAGAGACCTGGCCAGGCTCAATGCGTTGATCCGTCCAAAGCTCGGACCGAAAGTTGTCTGGAGTCTGAGAGCATCCAGTCGATTTCCCTTCCTGGAGCTTTCTGGCCTCCCTCCTTCCCCCTGCCCCTTCCTCTCTATGTAGGATGAACCCACTAGCGAGCTATCTGGGGAATCTCACGTTGTATCCTGCGTTTCTGCTGTTCCCCCCCCCCCTCATCACCGGTCCCCAACTACTCCCTCCCATTCCTCTCCCTCTCTGTTCTCATCCCCAACTTCCCTCCCTCCCTCCCTGTCTTCCACATCTCCTCTTCTGAACTTTCCCTTTCCCGCAACCCCACACGAGTCATTGCCCAGGGCACCGCAGGCCGACTCATGAACCCCTTCCCCTCTTCCGCCCCCCATCAAATCAGCAAACCGGACAGATGGCCGAGCGGTCTAAGGCGCTACGTTCAGGTTGCTTCTGCTGTTGGTCCTACTACCAGCTGGCCCCCAGTTTCGTAGTCTCGCAAGAGGCGTGGGTTCGAATCCCACTCTGTTCATTCCCTCAATCTGATCGGGTATGGTGTAGCGGTAACATCGATGACTCTCACTCATCAGCCCGGGGTTCGACTCCCCGTATCCGAGATCTTCGTTTTTTTGCTTCTACCTCGTTGGGGGATCATGTATTTACATTTTTGACCCGTCAGGGGACGGTTTAACTACTAGTTAGCAGATAGACCCTGACCAAATATCCGTGCTACCGTATTCTTGTGGTCTGGGGTGAACCTAGGCCCCATCGTGAGTGGATTTACTGTCGGTGAAGGAAGGTACGACGAGTCATGGCGGTGCAGACGACCCTCCTCTTCCCCCATCTGCGGGTTGCTGTTGCGGGTCGGAAGTCGAGACACGCGTCCTAGAGACTGGAGAAGAACGGGATTCGACAATGGCAACCGTGGTCTAACGGTTAGGATTCAACCCTTCCAAGGTTGAGGCAGGGGTTCGACTCCCCTCGGTTGCAATTTTGCCGATTTGTTGTTGTTCCTCTGTTTGATGGCGACGAGGGTATCCATCCTATCCTATCAGTGTTATTGGGTTTTTTTTGCCGGTGTTGTAAATATCTCACAGCGTTGAGCATGGTGTTGCGTGGTAGCGCACAAGGCAAAATGAAGTCATCGTGTGGATGTACATCTTTTTGTTGTCCTGGGCCGCAATGCAACAGAGAGGATGTGAGAAATCCAATGTCAATATATGCCTAGAAGATAACAAGATCGCCCGTGAACCCTTGGGCAGGCAGGACTGGGGTATACGTGTCCTCCATAACGTCGCAAAGTATCCCAAATAACTCCAAAACGTCCGTTGTTTTGCCCAAACGCCCTTGGATGAATACAACATACAACCATGCCTTGCTCTTCTTTCGTCAGTCCGTCCATCATCCATCCATCATGATACAAAGACCGTCAAGGTCTGTCTATCGACGGTCGAAAGTCGAAAGGTAGAAGAAGCGTCGAATGTCGTAGACGCCATAATACGTCCCGTTCGATGGCAGTGTAAGTAAATCCATCTATCCTAGGCGTAGAAAAAGGGGATATCGTCGTATGCCTAATAGCAAAATGATGCCGCCTTCTATCGCTCTCTATGCCGATGCCCTTTGTAATGTCGTGTCTCTCGAATGAAGTGAATCTGAAAATTCCTCCCGGCTGGAAAAAAATGTCCTAAAATGTCTTCGAAGCAAAAAGACCGACCCTGATTGCGCCAAATAATGCAGTTTGTTGTTATTGTTGCGGTCCCCTTGTTGTTAAGCCAGTAATTGGAATTTGTTGTGATGCCGAACGCCGAAAACCTTGTGAAGCGAAGCGAAGTGGTGGTCGATGTGGTAGTATTCCTGTTGTGGTGGTCGTCGTGGGAGCCGGCGAGGCCCGATGTAAGAGGTAGCGGTGTAATACCGGGTTAGGGTTAGGCCCAGTGAAGTTGAGGATTGTAGTGGAAGTTCGTGTCGATGATAGTGTTGTTTTTCCCCTCGCGTGGGACCCTGCCAGCTACCACCACGGCCACACCATGCTCGAGTGAAAAAGCAGCTGACACCACTTCGACATCACCTAGAGCTGACCTTCCGTCTCCGTCTGCCAGCCGCAGCCGTATGTGCTGCAGACCGTTCCGTCGTCATCTTCTTCCCCGTCGTACAATCCTCACTTGCGTCGGCCTAACTGCCTTCCGTCCCATCTCTATAGCTCAGCTATCGAGTTCTGAAGTCCGACAGAGTAGTTGAACTTGGTGCTGTTCCACTGCACGGGGATGATGGTGAGGTAGTTCAGGAACTTGGACCCGTCCTTCCGGTAGTTGGTGATCTGGACCTGGCACTCGAGGTTGTTCCTGACCGCGTGCCGTATCTCCTTGAGGGCCGCCTTGTCCTCGGCAGTTCTCTTAACCTTGACTCCTGTTGGCGGTATTTGAAGGAAGCGGCAGTTTTGTCCCAACACCTCGGTGGGGTGGTAGCCCGTCAGCTGGGCGAAGGGGCCGGAGGCGTAGACTATCGGGCAGTCCTCCCGGGCCAGGTCGCAGAGGATGAGCGGGCAGTTGGTGTCGATCGCCCCCGTGTTGACCTGTGGGTTTGGGCGGTCGTATATTTTCAGCTGTTAGGTGTGTCAGGGAGTGTTGCATAACGGACAGGTGATGATCGACAAGTCACTCGTCTGAAAGTGCTCGTTCTCAGACCATGAGTGGCCGTGGAAGTCCCTGAGTGACTACATACCAGGATGCTCAGAGCATCTATGCCGGAGGCAGTATAGAGTTCCGGATGGAAACCATGTGCAACAGGACCGGCGACTCCGTCGACGTACTATAAAGAAATGGGTCAGCTTCTTGGAATCAGGTGTGGACAGCACAGCGCCTGGGCCGGGGTTGAAAGTTACCGTCAATGCCTTTTCCTCGAAGGGGTTCATCTTCACGGACGTCCTGGGCCTTGCTGTGTTGATTTGACGGGACATGTGTCGCCAAGAAGCTGGATCGATCTGCCGGTAGGGAGAGATGTCTAGGTCATGTGTATGGTGATGTTGGTGGGTACGCGGTGACAAGGGGGCCTTGATAGTGTGTGGTTTTCTTGATGTTCGAACTGTCCAGAGTGGAAGGGGAAGATGGGAATGAAGATGGGGAAAGGGGGAAGATAAATATCAGACTTGAAGCTTTAGAGGAAAGAGTCCATAGCAGTGTCAAACACTTGTCTGACCACGCAATAATCGCCTTTGCCTTGGAGGAGGAATTCGATCGAGATCTTCAAACTTGCCAACCCTCTGTGGCCCAGCTTGCTTCTCACCCGATACTGGGAACGAGCGCTGCGGGATACTGGATACGGCAGGGGGGAGAGAGGGGAGAAAAATGACAGCGTGAGACAACAGACTGGTTCGCCTGTGGTTATGGGCGCTATGAGCACGATGTACGCCTTCTGACGGTCAGCCAGGCATTCTTGTGCGTTACTGGAGCCGAAGCCTCCTTCTCTTTGCTGGCCGGATCATGGGGCCATCCACTCGATGGGCGACAAGTTTGGGTCTGATTGCAGCGTACTTCTGCGGGGGCAGTGATCGGAGCCATCTCAAAGGACGGAGAAGAGGGCCACACCCACCCCCGGTAGCCCGGGGGTTTTAGATCCCTTCTCTGGCTCAATCAATCGGCAATGGAATTAGGCTGCCAAAGGACTGGATCAGAATCCGTATTTCTTGTACTCCGTCTGGTAGGAGAATTTCTGCGTCAAACATATCTGATCCGCCCCTTGCACCTTCACACAAAGAGCCAGCATGATCTGAATTCGGAACGACCTTACTCAACGGCAGGGGGGATTTCCCAGCACTGTGACATGCGCCCGGCAGCAGTCTGTTTGGTCCTGTCCACTTGCAGATACTTGCATTGGCGACTGACTGGTCATCTTGATGCGGTAATAGTGCGAGATGGCTCGGTTGGCGGATAGGGTTGTTCAGTGATGATGGTTGGCGATCGCCGGCAAACAAGCGGCCTTGGTCAGATCTTGCCAAATCGACTAAGCGCCTGGTGATCGGGAGATCTAAAGAGATCCACAAGCGCACGGGCATTTGGGACGAACTAGCCCAGTTTGGCATTATGATGGAACGTCGAGCATTCTTTCCCGGCCATTTTCAACCTTGATTCCACTTCAGGCTCGTGTTGTGCGTGTTGTGGCCATGCAAATCGCATTGTGGCGTATCGATCTCATGTTAAGCCCAGTATGATGAGTGGATCTCGTGCTCCGTTCCTCAGGGAATAATAAGCGGCTGGTTTTCGAGAAGAGATGCAGCGAGAAAGAAACCGAACGGATGGTCAGAGACAGATATCGAAAGAGAGAGCAATAAGTCTTGTCTCTGTCTGCGTCAGAAGCTAAATGACGGAGAGACACCCAGCCCAGAACTCGCGCATTTCTCTCCGGCGCTGAGGAACGCCTCAACGACAAGAGACTCACATCAATGGATCGCGATCCTTGGCCTGTGAGACAACGGGTACTGCTGGAAATGCCAGCATCCCTCCCTTTTCGGTATGCCGTCCACAGCGGCAGCTTGACTGTCCCACGCCCACGGCAGCCGTTGTGTATAACAAACGGAACGTCGCCCATGCTTAGATGCTTCGCCACAAAGCCATGATAGCAGCCGAAGGCGTCCTCGGCCCATAACCACTCATCCTGTCAGCCCGAGGAGACGAAGCAAACATGAAGTAGGAGGCGCGGAAGCGGCCGGTAGTGTGCTGATCTACGGCGCATAACGCGGTCTGATTGCGAATTGCTTCGATAAAGAACAAGCAAAAAAGATAATGACAGCTGTCCGTGCTGTGCTGCTGGCGTCGACAAACAGCAGCAAATATTGCTTGTTTCAACGCTGGCACCAACCATCATGACGGCGGCTGAGGTGCAAAAGACTTAGATGACGAGGCATTCGGGGAAATTTGATTGTTCAATATCTCTGGGCATCCGTGCTCTCGATAAATCGGAATGGTGTAACTCGGCCAACAAGGAGCTCGCCTGGACTGTCCTGTGTGTCGTTATGAGACCAACCGTGGATATCCTGGCAAAGAAACATGGCATGACGAAGAAGTCCGGAGAGAAAACGGCGAATGATCGTGGCCAACTCGTGGCATCTTGACTCCTCTGTGTTTGGGGAAAAGAAGGCAACGTTGGTGGTAGCGTGGAAATCGAGAAATGCGATGCGATTTCAGAATTCGATTAAGGCTCGAGATCGGGATTTGCCCAAGTCTTTTCTCGATTGCGGCGTCCTTCCCTTGCTCCCTTTGATGTCATCTGTGCTGCTGTGGATCCGCATAGCAGCCAATCGCAGCTGCGGCTATTTCTCGCTTGCGTCCAGCCAAAAAGGGTCTAGACTCCGACCCCTGTCCACTTGAAGACCCCACATACTTTAAACATCAAGATCCACCTTATCTAATCGACGCGAAGTTCCACAAACTCAACGCGTCTCGAGGAGGAAAGTGCCCGTGAAGCAGCACCGCAGCAGATTCGACAAGCAGATGGAACCTTCCTCGCCGCATCTCGCCAGCAACATACCTTACGAGA